TCCTTTCGCGTGTGGGGGGGTCTTTGTTTGCAGGCTCTGCGGAGCAGTTCCCACACGTATGCGTAGCTCCGAGCTTTTAGGCAGGCTGCTGTCCCCAGCGGTGTTACACCTGTAACCTGGGCTGCCTCCGGGGTGGAAATAGGTGGTCAAGGTCCCGGTGGGATGGGTGGCAGAGCCTTCCCCGCACCCAGCCGACCCTAGCAGCTCTGTTTCTCTTTGCTGAGTTGTGAGTAGCACGGTTTTTCTGCGTGGCAGGCACAGCAGCAGCTGGGCACGGAGCAGGGCCAGGCGGGAGAGTCCGTGCGGTGGGGAGAGTGCAGGTTCCAGACTCCTGGATGGAGGTGCTTATGCTCTGCTGTATCTCTAGGACATCTCTCTTCACAGTACACGTGGGGTACAGTTAGTTCCTGAGGCAGACTCCCGCTGTCTTTGGGAGCGTGTGTGTGAGTTTGTGGTGTGGGAAGTGTCTGACTGTGGGACTGACAACTGCCCTCCCATAAGGGGAGCCTTTCCTCCTGGCCCAGCAGGTGAGCGGTGGCCTCTCTGCAGGGAGGTGATGCTTACTGAGCTCAAGCCCAAGATCCCACGCTTCTCAGCAGGAGACAGTAGCTTCTGGGCCAGTGTGGCATTCTTCAGAGCACGCCAAGCCTGGCTGGATGCAGCAAAATCTCTGTCACACAGGGAAGAGCTGTTTGCTGTTGTGTGGGTGATATGGCAGTGTTAACTTGTTCCAACTCTCCATTCAGAGTGTTTGCTCAGGTGGACTTTGGTTTGCGGCAGGAAGAAGCTCAAACCCACGAAATAGGAAGGTGTTGTGTCCCAACCTGTTGTGAACCTTGGAGCCTTCTGCCAGGGATTGTTCTGGTGCCTCTTCTGCTTTCAGCTATGCTCTTTGGCCCTGGTCTCCATGTGAGCCTCTCAAATGGCATTCTTCCATCTGGAGAGTGCAGGGTCAAGCCCACCTCTGTCTGAGGTGCTAATAGAAGCCATGGTGATTTTGGATGTGATGGCGTGCTCGGTGTACTCCATCACACCTGCAGGGAAGCAGTCCCATAAAAAAAAAATCCAAGAAGATACAGCACACGAGGGAAGTTAAAGGAGGGAGGGAGGGCTTCTAAGCCTGCAGTTTGCAAGCTTACCTACCACAGTGTAGTCCTAGACAAGGGAAACCCAAGCTCATTAGAGACCCTCTAGGTAGGCCCTTTGAGAGCCTGGGATGCAATCTGGGGACCTCTGGTGTCCTGAGCTATTGATTGTTTCAGCATTTTTCACTTTCTTCATCTCTTCTTGAGGGAAGCTTGCTCTCAAATCTCATCTACAAACCCAATAAAGTATATGCTAGCTCTTGTCTCGCTCTTCCCGTATTATAAGTGAGCTGCTTCTCGAGACGTGTTGTCTGAAGATGTCTTGACTTCAGTATGTTAAATCCTTAGCTCCATGTGTCCCCTCAGCTCCTGCTGGAAATACACAGGAGATGATCCCTGGAAGGCTTTGCAAGCATCAGACTTGCAGAAATCCATTCCTAATCTTTGGGTTTAGAACAGTTGGGTGCTGGTGCTCTCTGTTCTATGGCTTTGCTGGAAAATAGCTGAAAAAAGCTAGAAAGACATAAAGGACCGAGGAGATGAATTTGTGGTGCAGTGAGTAATGATGTGAGCAGGCAGCTGCTTGGCCAGGCTTCCCCTTCTGAACTGTTGTCCTGGCTGCATGCAGGCATTTCCCTGTTCTGCTCTGGTGCTCATCTCTCTAACATTACACAACTTCTTCTCTCCAGAGAGACGGTCTTGAAGCTCTCAGCCTTGGTAAAAGCAGCTGGGGTTGTTGATCTGGCTTGTCCAAGCTAGATTCTGCGTTCATGCTGTGGCCAGGATGCTGGGGTTTTTGCACAAATGATTTTTCCACTTCTCTGGCTTAAACTGCAGGGGGTTAGTCCAAAAGCAGATTTATTTTTTTTTATTTTTCTTCTTGCTGACAAGGAGTTGCTGCTAGACCAGGGCTTGGAGAAGAAAGGAGTTACAATGAGATCATGGTTCGTTTCTCTGCTCTGACAGTGGTGGATGCTGGGTTGGACTTGAGCAGTGGTTGGGTCTTCCACCGAGGTGGAATTTTCATTTCTCTTCCACTCCTGCCTCCCCTCCAGAGCTGAATCTGAAGGAGTCATGTCCTCAGAGCACACCAGGGTTTTTTTCTCATTCTCCAGTGCAGCACGAACTGGTCAGTGGGAGTCCAAACTGGGACTTGATGTTTTCTGGGCAACGCAGTAGTGAAGACTCTTTCTTTTCTTGTAGTTTGAAAGAATGTGATGAAAACGCTTCTTCTTTTCCTGTGTAGTACTGTCAGGCATAAAATGTATTGCAAAAAAAAAAGAGTGAGGGGGGACAGCAACCCTAAATGTTGTATCTAACTTGAATAACATGATCTTGCCAGTTGTTAAACAGTGGCCTGAGAACAAAGTGGGTGGTTTTATTCCAAGGTCAGCACAAAGATATAGAGAAGTTTCTTCTTCCTTTTGATTGCTGGAAAAGTTGTGTAGGAAACACAAGGGAGAAAGAATGGGTAACGGCATTCTAACGGTTGTGCTTGCCAGTTCTTTCCGTTTCCTTGTTAATAAAGTTGATGTTATGTGATAGTCTGGGGTGGTGCTTTGAGAATTTCCTTAGGCCAGGTGTCCATCGTGTTAGGTGCTAAATGACCAGGTGGTAAGGAAAGCATCTGTCCAAACATGGTATCTGCGTAATTTGGAAAGCAGTCTCTTATCTGCAGAGATACCAAACATATAAAAGGATCCCTCAGTACCCTCTGGGAGGGTGGGAGGGATGGGGTGGGCTCATTAAAATGTGGTGCTGTTTGTTACCCTGAGCTGTAGTGAGGTACCTAAAAACGCTCTCTTGAACAGATCAGTGAGGTGTGGGTAGATGGCAGCTGTACCGCACGCAAAGGCAGCGTGACGGCTGCTCAGCTGAGCACAGGGCTGGAGGGCTCAACTCCTGCCTTACACCAGAGCTGCCCTTTGCTCCATCCACAGCTTTGGGGAAAGCACTTGTTAGGTAGGATGCAATTTCAAAAGAGGACTCTGACACTTACTTTTAGGCATCCCTCAGGTTGTGGGTGCTGAGCATGAGGATGTTTTTCTAGGCATCTCAGAGCATTGTGGGGATTTCTGGCTGCTCAGTGCTTGCAAAAATCAGCGTCAAACCTTATTGCTTCTGAAAATGTGGGTTTTTTTCCCTCTCTCCCAGCACATCCTTAATTTGCCTTTATAGATAGATACTTGAGTATACGAGGCAGTGCACCAACGTGTCTTCATTCTAGCCATTTCCAGTAGGAGCGGGGTTAAAAACCCATGATCCTCAGCTGGCCAGGGTAACTCAGCTGGCTGGACCCCTAGTGTGGATGCAATGACATATTCTCTATGTTCTACAAGCACAATGACTTTCCGGCCAGCTCTAGCTGTTCCTCCAGGGCAGTGCAGGCAGGGACCTGACCACAGCAAAGGCTGCTGACAGGGGAAGGGATCGGGCCCAGGGGTGTCGGTGTTACCCAGTGCCCTGAGCAGCGCATCCCCCTTGCATGTACCCCCTGCTCTGAGCAGCGATGTGACAGCAAAGACAAAAGTGGGTCCCACAGCAGCCCTGATGTCCTTGGGGGAGAAAAATTTGGCAGGAAAGCTGAACGGGTTGTGGGGAGGAAGGCACTGAAATAATTTATTTCCCTGGGAACTGGTTTGCTCCACTCAACATGAAGTCGAGATGCTGGGCTCAGATCTAGACCACACAAGCTTGTAAGTCTCTACTGGATAAACCCTAGAAATGGAGGTTGAATTGTTCTCACACCCCAGATGACAGTCCCTGGAGGAGCTGGCTGAGGACAGCGTGAGGAAGGAAGAAGTTCAATGCCTGCTCCTCCTTGCAGGCTAGTTCTTTGCTGGAAGTCCCTTTGGTAGGTGCAGGCAACCTGGGCTGTTGGGAGCTCAGTGCACTGATTTCCTTTCTGCCTTTAGGAAAGAGGAGCTGCTTCCCCCTCACTGCGAAAGCCAAGGCTGCGGTTACCTCCAGTGCCATGGTTAGAGCGCGGCTGCAGAACTGGTTGTTCTCTGTTACACTGAGCGTTTGTCGTCCAGACCTACACAATAGCTGTAACTGTACGCGCCACACGAGTGCGGGGCAGGGCCAAAGGTTCTCACCGCCCCCGTGATGAGTTCATCTGGAGAGTCCCTGCGTTGCAAAGGCAATGTTCTGCTGGGACTTGTTCCCTGCTGGGAAATTTTGCGGAAACCCAGAATTAAGGGTGCCATTTGTTGCTTTGGCCCGGTACCCACCTTGGCACTGATTCACCCTCCTGCTGCTGGTGGGAAAGAGGCGAGGTGGCTGAGGAGGGAAAGGCGCTCTCTGAGGAGGAAAATCTTCAGTGACTCTTTCTGTGTGAGAAGCGTGACGTATTTTTGATGTGACGAGGTTCGGTTCTTGCTCCACCTGAGGTTGCGTAGCCAGGGCAGGGAGGCTGGGGGAAGCCAGGCGAGGCTTTGAGACAGAGAGGTGAGGCAGGGCAGGGGAAAAGAGGAGACTGACTTCTTGGTCAGGAGAGAGTGGCTACCGCAGGGCACATGTCTCCCAGAAAACGGGCCAGCGTGCAGCACAGCTTTAGCCTTGCTCTGAAACCCACAGTAAGGGTTGCTTTGGGTTTGCTTGGAGCCAGGTGGAGGTGGGTTTCTCTCAGTGCCAGCAAACCTGGGCTATTCCTGTCTTTCCCAGTTCACCTCCCTTGGTATCAACAAACGTAATGAAAGTCCCTGATGTGGGAGCGGGCACTGAAGAGTGCCTAACACCTAGACTGCAGGCAACACCAGGGCCTTTTCCATGGTAGAGTTGCTTCCTTTAGAGCGAGACAGAGCTGGGAGAGGGACATGGGCCAGAAGCACTGGGGATGCAGGGAGGAGGAGGAGAACCGACCCCCTCGCTGGGGGACCCAAGCCCAGCGTGGGTGGATTGCAGGCATCGAGGATGGCAGCTCTCGCAGGCAGCAGCGTCAGCAGGGCTGGTGGAATAGCTGACTTAGATAAAGATCTGGCTTTGCTGTTTAATGTACCCGACCGGGCAGCCAGGCGCAGAGCCTCTCTGGTTCAGCTGGAAGGGGCTGTAGCAGGCAGGTGGGGAGCAGAGGGCCGGCTGGGTGTGTGCCCGGGGGCAGGAGCGGGGAGACGTGAGGGAGATCAGCCATGCCTTTCTGAGAAAGGAGGATCTGGGAGTGGAGGAAAGGATAGGTCATGCAGTGGGACACCACTCCATTTATGTTTACTGTCCTCTGTCTTGGTCTTTTCTTCTGCATCTGTACCTCCTCCACTGCAAGAACACCTTTCCCCACCTTTCTCTTTCTTTCCCTCCTTCCCTCCCCTACCAACGAACTTTCTCAATGATGATTTTTGCAGGGATCTTTGCCAGAGGTTATGTGGACTCTGTGGGGCAGCTGGGCCCTGGACTTTGGAGGCAGAGCGAAGGACCTGCGGTTGCGTGGGATCAGTTGGGAGCTCTGGACTATTTGCTAGGAGCAGTGAGAGCTGTGCACCTCTCGTACACGTCAGCTGTGAGGAGGAAAGAGTTGGGTATCTGAAGGCTAATTCTTAAATAGGCAGATCAGAAGCATTAATCAGTTGCTCAGCATGTTCTCGTTTTACAAAAGTGCCTCCAACCTGGGAAGTACTGCACTGTTTTTAACCTCCTGCCTGTAGAGGTTTTCGGCCCAAGTGCAAAATACGACTATCCCTGTTTGCTTTTTCCAGACTGAATGCTGATTGTTCAAAGTGAATTAAAATTAAATCTGCAGCTGAAGAATATGCCAGGGTCAACTACTAGTTTTAGTCTACTCATCCTTGGGTCTTGCACAGCATGGGAGCTCACAGCAGAAGAGTGCAGCTGGACTAAATGTGCATGGGAACATGGGTCGTTCCAGTGGTGCCAGTGTCTCAGTGGGAATTCTCCTCATTAAAGCTGTCAAAAAATAATTATTCCATAGTGATTTTGCAAGCATTTTTGGTATCTCTTTCTTCCCAAACCTCCTTGATGTCCTGTTCTTGTGGTGAGTTTATAGTCAACAAATGCACCCAGTAAAATCCTTTCTCCTGTCCTGGGGAGAGAAACACATCCCAGAGTGCAGCTGTTCTTTCAGCTGTCCAGATGTGCACTGAAATGCATACCCTTTTCTCTTCTGGACATGGAAGAGAAGGCAGGGAATAAATAGTGGGTGTATGAGCTAGTCTGCAGAAAAACTCATCATGGACACTGCTAAAGCTTGTAGAAACGAGAAAGGCTCCCTTCTTCTTGGGGCAGAAGGAGGTTTGGAAGAAGCCGAGCTTATGAGCCATGTAGAGGGAATAGCTCAGGAGGAGAGGGATGATCTTAGCAGCTTGGCATAGCTTCTGCTTGCTGGTCCCTAGCCACCAATGTCTGTGCCGTTCTCTGTGGAGGACACTGTTAAGACCGTAGGCTGCGGGTGGGTGCCGAAAGGCAATAATTGTTATTCATACTAAGGAGGAGGCACTGTTCTGATCCATCTGCGTAGCCCTTGTAGTAGTATGGTCTGACACCAAGACAGGGGATTGCAGATTCCCACAGAGTGTACAAGTGCCCCAGAAGCCAGATGAATTGATACCTGCCTAGAAATCAGTGTTGATTTACACTAAAACAGGATATAGGGATGTTTTGCTATTGAACAAGGTATTCTGTGAGTCTACATGAAGGTAACTATGACTGGTTTCTAGGCTGGTTTTGGAGATGGACTACAGTCCATGTCAGAAGCTCTCTATATAAAACACGAAAATTATTGACTGTGGCAGAAAAGGTGGTCAGCTGCAGCTGATCATAAAGGGTTCCTTTTGGCTTTAACAATTTGACTTCCATTTCTATTCTGTATGCTGTTGGGTTCAGAAATGAATAAATTGTTCTCCAGGACACCAGTTGCTCAGAAGCAAGTGAGGGAAGGCAGCAGAGGAAATTTGGGACTGCTCACCCTAAGTAATGCATGGAGATAATGGCTACGTGATACTTGTTTAACAAAACAAAACGAGGCTCCATGGAGGCTTGCCTCCCTTCGGTAAAGGATGGAAACCCCCAGTTGTTTGAGGAAGCTGTGGACATGGGATGTGACCTGGCAGCAATTTGTTCTTGCCACAGTGGGACTGCGAAAATCCTTACTTCTTTACAGACACCGGTTATTATGCTGTAGACCTTTGGGTGGGGTTGAATCTGGGACTACACCCCTGTACTCAGGTAGCTGAAGTATGAGACCTTTGACTTTGTTCTTTTAGCTGGAGCCTTTCTCTTTGACCCTGATTCTCGGTTCACCCCACTGATGCCAGAGACCTGTGACTCTCACTCTGTTTATTTATCTCTTTGTCAGGAGGTGAAGATCTTCCGTGCCTTAATCCTAGGGGAGCTGGAGAGGGGCCAGAGCCAGTTCCAAGCGCTCTGCTTCGTCACACGACTTCACCGCAACGAGATCATCCCCAGCGAGTCTATGGCAAAGCTGCGGCAGGTAAGAGGCACCCTGCAGCTGGCTTCAGTGCCAGCTCCATCCTCCAGGCCATCCAGGTTTTCCTAGACCTGTCCTGCCTGGATACTCTTCCCAGGCAGCTGCCCAGTGGTTCAGCTGTTAGACCCACCTTTGACCACCCCTCCTGCTTGAGGGACTCGGTATTAAACTAAGTTCTTCAATAGTATTGATCCTAATCTACTAATGAACTAGAAGGACGCGTGATTTAGTTCAGCCTATTCTGTGTCAAAGGGTAAGTGGATGGCTAGAGTGATCACCATGAAAATCCTTGCCCTACATTGCCCAATGAACTAAGTACTGATTTGGGACCATTCGTCATGATAAAACATTGAGAAACAAGCACAGGCAAATCAGAGAAGTAGTAAGCTATCATTGGTTTCAGCATCGACAAGAATTTTTTAAGTGCCTTCCATCCAGATAGGATGCAGGTGCATTTACAGAGGAACATCCCTTTACACATCTTCGTATGTTGGTGTGAAATCGTGATGTACTATAAGGAATAACTTGCTGCGAGCAGGATTCGGGTTTTCATTATTTCACCCTCTGCAGAAAAATCCCAGGACAGTGCGGCAGGCTGAGGAGGTGCGGGGCCTGGAGCATCTCAGCATGGATGTAGCTGTCAACTTCAGCAAGGGTGCCCAGCTCAGCTCTCACATCCACAATGTCTGTGCAGAGGCCAAAGAAGCAATTTACACCCGAGAAGAAGATGTCAAATTTTGGCTGGAGAAAGGTAAGTTTCCTTCAGCTTTGATGGAACTACTCTTGTCAGCAAGTTGGCACTCTGCTGTGATCTCTCCTGCCAGATTTCTGGTGATCAGGAGAGATCACTTTGGCTTCTCTTTCACTGTCTCTATGGTGGATAAGGCACGTGTATCGCTTGCTTGCACATCACATTGCACTAGTCCTATTTGCTAGCGTACATGACTTCTTTCAGTGGTGCTCTCCTCGAGAACCTGATTGGGCGGGTATTTTCAAGGTAACCTTTAACCTGGTTCATCACCGAGAAGAAATACACTTTGCATACTCTATCTTTTGGCTTATTTTCCCTATGGCCCTTTCTTCTCCCATGGTTCCTATTCAGACTTGTGCCCAAAAAGCCCTGGAAGTGCACTCTGTCTAACCTTGTTCTCCTCAACTGTCCTGGAGACTGTGCAGAGAGAGCAAAGCTCACTTCGGTGGCTGTCTCCTTTGGCCTTGCCTTTCAGCAGCGCCCTGAGCAACATCTCTCCTCTTTCTCCTGCAGGGGTAGATGGCTCAATGTTCGAGGTCCTGCCACAGACATCTGACCTCCCTGACCTGCAGCGATGCAAGCTGTGTGCCGACCGCTGGAAACCCTGCATTTGCAGCTACTCACTGAGCATCGAGTGGTACCCGTGCATGCTGAAGTACTGCAAAAGTCGCGATGCTGGGGGCAAGGTTTCTTCTTACAAATGTGGCATCCGCAGCTGCCAGAAGGGCTACACTTTTGATTACTATGTGCCGCAGAAACAGCTATGTCTCTGGGACGAGGAGACCTAGCAGAGCCAGGCCAGACCTTTTCAAGGGGCAGCTCATCTGCCTCCTGCCACCATTTATGATGCTAAGGGCCTCCTGGAGCTGGCTGCTCCAAGGAGGGAATGTGGTTCACAGTGGTGCCTTGTACCAGGAGAGCTCTGCATGTGTGCCTTTCCTTCTGGCCCCCTATGACTCCCTCCCCACCTGACGCTGCCTCATACTGTGATAAATGGGCTCAACTCACCACATGTTGATGCTCTCCTGCCAGCTGCCGAGAGATACGGCTTCCTGGAAGAAGCAGGAGATGCAGGTTTCTGGGGTGAAGCACTGGGAGGGATGTGTTTTGTCCTGCTCTGGAGTTAGCAGATGCGAAAAGGGGCAGCGCTGAGCAGTTATCAGCCTTGAGCATCCTGATGAGTGGTCAGGGCAGGGAGAGAAATGGTCTTGATGACCTGGGTTGTCAAACATCTCTGCCACCGAAGAAGCCCCTTCACTGACTTCACCTCCTGGTGACACAACAGCATTTCCCAATGGGAAAACGGCTGATTTATGGGACCACATACCCTGAACAAGGAAGGTATGAAGCCTACCCAAAGCAAGATCCTGCCTGTAGCTTTTTCTAGTGTCCGACTGGCTGTTATATCCTTCCTGTAGCTAGAAGATATAATGGGGGGATGTATCCCAGGAATGACTTTTGCCCCTAAAGGGTTCGTAATTAGGGCTCTCATTAATCCCTGTTTAGACTAGTGAAGGCCCAACTTTTTGTGTTGGTCCTGTGACTCTCCCACTAAGAAAGAAACATCTAGAGACTTGTGACTACCGTCATAACATTGTGGTTGCGAGGGGAGAGGATGATCCTAGGTGGGTTCACACTGTTGTTTTGAAGAAGACAACATTCTAGATCTACGCCCAGTTTTATGTCCTACTCTGCCAGCTATTCACAAGAAGCTCTTACATCATTGTACTGCTTTGCTGTGCCTTGGTTTCCCCTGTACATAAAACAGGGATGACACTGAAGCTGACCTTGGCCCTGGTATATACCTGGAGGGCATCAGACAAGAAGCACTGCAGGAGTGCTGCCTGGTTCCTGTGTCCTCTTCCACTCAAGTTAGAACAAGCAGGAGGGGGAGAGAGGCTGTTGGGGTCATTGTGGACCCCTGTACCTTCTGGTGAAAAGCCTTCACAATGTGCCTTTTTGCCTAAAATACAGGAATTTTTGACAAAAAAAAAAAAAATTTGGTCACAATTATTTTTGTATTGATCACTTAAGGGGGGAGAAGGGAAAGGTATTTTAATATTGCAACATGAAGTAAAACACACTTGAAATGATTTTTTAAAAACAAATTATTTATCATTTGTAAGGTAAAATAAACTGATTTTTTTAAAGCATCCCTGGCCTAAAAGATTCTCTGTGCATTGTAATCTGTGTGTGATCCAGTTGTTTGGATTCTTAATTAAGAGTTGTTCCTTTATGGGTAAGTCACCACGTCTGCACCCAGGACATTGAAGAGCCATGGATGGGGGGAGCATCCTGCTGCTCAGCATGACCACGGCACTTCCCAGTATGGTCCTGCATCTCAAGCATACCGTCCACCCAGCCCCTCAGTAGGGAGACAGCTTTGTCTCATCTCGAGCAGCTGTGAAACCTTTGACCCTGAGCTCTGGTGAAGGAAAAGACCTGCAGTAGAGGCAGGTCCTGGGGCTAGGCAGGCTGGTTCCTGCTCCTCTCTCCAAGTGATGGTGGCGTTCCATGAGGGGATATTATGCAGATGTGGCTGGAGGCTTGTCTGGGTCCAGCAGCCTCAATAAAGTATTCTTTGTCTGTTCCTCTGCAGCTACAGCTGAGGGGAGATGAGGGCAGCAGTTTTGGGCCAGCGCAGAGCTGCTGGCTCTGTGGCTGCTCCAGGGAGAAATGTGGAGTGCTGATTCCCCCTAGTGTGGCAAATGCAGAGATGGGACAAGGACTTTTGCAACCTCAGCCCTTCTCCGCTTGAGCCACCAAGGCAACTTACCCCCTTAGTGTGATTTCTGGGGAAGCTGAAATTGCTTCTTTTTTGCTTACACGGTCAGCATTTACAGGGCTGTGTTCTCTGTTGCCTTGGCTCCTGCTGCAGCAGCACACTGCCGGACTTGTCCCTGTTGTGGGGCGAGGTGGGCTGTGGGCAGCGTGGGAGAGGGTCGCAGGGTGGGTGCCTGCCTTTGCCGGGAGCGCTGCGAGACCCATCTCCGCTGCTGCCTCCTGTACAGGGCTGCAGGGAGGGGACATGAGCTTGCTCTGGCAGCACTGGGTCACATCCCGGTGAGCTTGAATGTGCTCATGTTGTAGCGGTGAGGCTCTGGGGTGCCGGAGTCCTGGAGACATCCCAGGCCTTCCCCGGTTCTTTTGGCAGCACTGAGCTGGGGTACTCCTGGGCTGCCCCGGGAAAGCAGCACAGTGCACAGCAGTACCAAGCCATCACCTCGGCTCTGTGGGGTGATGGAGGAGCCTTTTATGAGCTGGACCCGCGTTCTGTGGCGCAGGTGGGGGTGTGTTTTGAGCTTCTGCATGCAGCGGGGCCAGCGCTGCATGGTGGGAGCTCTGGGAGCAGCAGATAAGTGAAGGACGTGAACTCTAAATGACTACGGACAGCGTACGCTGAGCTCGACTCGATGGTCATTTCCGGCGGGGCTGGGGCTCGGCTGGGGCAGCCCGGCGGTGCAGAGCTGCCGGGCTCCACAAGTGGGTGCTGGCGGAGCGCGCCGCGGCTCTGCGGCGGGAGGGCGCCGGTCCGGCCGTCTCCCCAGCCTTGCTCGGGCTGCAGAGCATCCGTCTTGCCAACGGAACGTCCTTCTTCTGGCCGCGCCTGAATACCGCCCTGGAAAAGCGGCTGGCGCAGGTGGAGCCGGGAGACCTTCCTAGCACAGAGCCACGGCGCGGTTGGGCAGGAGTGCTGGTATAAATCCCCGCTGCTAGGAAAAAAGAAGTGGGGGCTTTTGTAACATCTTTCTGCAGTTCGTGCTTTCAGGGCCCGTCCAAAGGCCATACTCCATAAAGCGAGTGCTATCGGCACAGCTTATCTTCCTCCAAAAGGGGAATAAACAGCGGCAGCAGGTGTGGAGGAACGCATGCATGCAGCGTGGATGAGGGCAGATGGATCGGTCATTGATGGCCGTGGAGAAAAAGAGCAGTGTATCTGCTGGCATCTAGGAGTGATCATCTCAGGACAGAGTTAAAGCAAATCTGCCTTTGCAGATTTTGGGGTCTTGTTTCCACGGCAGAAGTGATGATGTTGTGATCCCTCCCCCATTTTTTCTCTCTCTGGGTAGCACAGGTGTTTTGAGTAGCTTTGTAAGGAGGGTGTATTCTCTCTTGCCTGCATAGCACATCACTGAAGCCAAGGGTACCCAGGTGAAGGGCTTTGCTCCTACAGCTGTTTGGGGAGAAAAGCTCTGAAATATTTATTTTTTTCCTGCTGTTCCAGTCACCACAAAATAATAGCCAGTAAAACCCCATCCCACCAGCTGCAGAGTGGGACTGGTGGCTGGAGGATTCCCGGCTGTATTTGGCAGCGTCTGCAGGGCCAGGAGAGGGCACTGCGTCCCTGCCCACGGCCAGGACAGCATCCCCGGCCGGAGGATGCCCGGGATCCCGGCCGGCTGGAGGAGCCGCCGGGGAGGACATGCCTCCCTGGGGCTGTGGGACAGGCTGCTCGGCTCTGGAGCGAGGGAGAAGCACCAGGAACCAGAGAGAAAAGAGCTGTGTCAAGTGAAATTGCCAGTCGGTGTACAAAAGGTGCTCTGATGTGGGGGGAAGGAGAGTTCTTGTGGTCCCCAGCCTTTCCAGGGCCTTTCTCCTATGCCCCAGAGGCCCTTCAAGCTGGCTGGAAGCCACCAGCAAATCCATGTTTCATGCGGTGAAGATACCTGATCACGTCAGTCTTCAAGATGGGGAAAACCCAGACGTGAGGGTCATGCTGAAAACACTAGAAAACAGACCAGCAGCTGCCCAGGAACACCCTGAGGGTCAGGGCCTGAATGGCTGGGGCTCTGCCAGGTATCGGGGGAAGGAGCCCAGCCCCTCCAGCAGCTCGGAACAAGCTGCCTGCGCAAACCACCCCATGTCACTTTTCTGCTTCCTGGAGCGGCGCTAAACACAGCCCGCAGAAATCTCCCCTTGTGCCCTGTCCTGCAAATGTTAGCCTGACCCGGGGACTTCCCTCCTCCTTGCTTTCCCCCCGCCCGTCTCTCCCCTGACTTTCCTCCTCTTTTTACTCGTTAGAGTTTTGTTTGACACATTCACCCTTTCCTCCCAGCGTGTTGCCCTCTCCTGAGGATGTCCTCTGACCACACGCGCGGAGGGCAGGCACTGCAGCCCCATAACGTCGGACTGGGTTGGAGGTGAGGCTCAGAGAGCCTGCCCGCCCGCCCACCCATCTCTTCGGAGAAACCTGTCTTTCCAGGGAGGGAGAGCTGTATGTGGGAAAGCCGAGAGTCCTGGAACGTGAATTAGCCAGGGAGAGATGAATGTGTGATAGCTTGTACCTGGCAGCTACCAATTGAGTGTGTTAACGCTTTCAGGAGGGGGTTGAGCAGCACCAGAGCTGAGGCGTTTAACACAGGCATCCTGCTACCCCGGGCCATGGTAGGGGTCAACAAGGTAGTTGTACGGAAGGAAGAGGGAGCAACCGCAGTGCCGGGGTCTGTCAGGGTGACTGTCGGTCCCTGTCACAGCACAGAGCGTAGGCTGAGGATCTGGCCTCTGGCAGCTTCCTACCAAAGAAGCCAACGTTAGGGGATGTTTTTTCACCTGGCTTCCCTGGAAGCCAGTTAAATACTGTAGCTTTAAACAATGTGGAGGAGGGGGAAGAGGCTGTCTGCCGCTTCTCTCCTCTTCTTGGGGGACTGACGAACCACACAGAGCACAAGTCGGGAAAGGGGGGTCTCCATGAGCTGATCCTAGCCCTGCCCTGTGTCTTCAGCCAAGTCAGGGTACCTTTCTGCTCTTAACTTTCCTTTTTGTGCTGATTGTGTCACGTGGCATCACTCAGGTTCAGCCCAGACCTAGGGGATGCGCAGTCTCAACCGCACAGGCTGCTCTCACGGCTCACTCTGAGCACACCCCGGGGTTTATCAGAGTGGCCAGAAGTGAAGTGGAGGGGCTGTTCCCACAGCTCGGACGCCTTCCTTCCTGGGCGCTGGTGGCTGCTGCCCAGCCTGGCTTGATGCCTCAGCCTCTCTTACCCACATG